AGGCATTTACTAGTCGAAGGTAACTTGTCTCCCCTTCGAGCAGAGAGGTACTGAAAACCAAATCCCTGTCAGATACATCTAACATTTACATATGTACCTGTTGAAGTTTCCCTTGACACTTCTGGAATTGTGGTAAAGAATCCAGGTTCCTAACCATACACACCAAGTCTGCAAGTAAACAAATATCTTCCTTGGTATTGTACGTTTAGTTGGCTATTTAGGCTTGTAAATAGCCAACTGGTGTCCCTCCTGCCAGTTGGGATTCTTAACCTAGTTATGTTTATATGAATATTTATTTACCATTGTTTGTTTACATTGGTCCTGAAAAGCCCTAATGGGGAGTAGCCAATTAAGTATACATTTTTCACTTTTTTTCACACATTGCACAAATACATCCCTAATATGAGATTCGCGCTTATCGGCGTTGCTTATTATCAACTACGGAAACAATGAAAAGTTTTGAACTGATAAAAATGCACCAATACTTTAATATGAAAGATTACCGCGCTCTAAAGACAAGGCAATGTTGACGTTTTCGTCTTAAAATGTCAGAGACTGTGGAATTTAAATCATTCAATTTTGAGGCTGACGTAGTTACAATTAAGGCCGTGAAACGAGAAAAAGAAAACAAAAAACAGCAATCAGCCCACCTGCGGGAAGCTTCGGCTTGTAGAAACTCAACTCTCCTCGTACATTTAATCGTAGGACAAGGTACAACATCTACATCAAACAGAAAAGTTCATTTTAACATAAAGAAATACGATAGTAATACCAAATCATTTCTCCTCAATATCGTAGATTTCCAGTTCAATTTTGTGTGACTTATTTTTCAAAAACTGTCTGGACAGTTGCTAGCGAGCTGTAAATCTCAACGCTTTACTTATTACACTCCTTTGCATTTCTTCGCAAGCCACATTACTATTAAACTTTACGATATGAAGATTCATTACCAAGAAAAGAGCAGTTAAAACCACCAACGGGAACCGCAGACGGGGAGGGGCTGGTAGGGCTATAGTCCTACATATCTACCCCTGTTTTTTGCTTGGTTTAATTTTTTAGGGCTCCAGATGACATGAATAATGTATGAATTTTACCACTTGAAAGTAAACAAAACAGTGAGGCAGTGATTTGTTTCTTTTGGTCAGATTTTCTAGCCCTGCCTCTTGCCACTCCTCTCTCCTCTGTCTCCGTGGTCCCTATGGCACCTTAGGGTAATAATAATAGGGTAGCATTTAAGACGATGAATGACTGGCTTACCTTTTGTAGCATTACCAGAGGCAAATAGGCAGTATATCCTGCAAAAAAAAAAAATCGTGATTAACGCGAAAATGCTATTAAATATCATCTAACAAAATCTTTGTAAACAAACGAGACTGTTCTAAGAAACAGTATGACATGCAGTGAGATATTAACCGGAAGGCCGACCGACCTAGCACCCTTTTATTCAAGCTTCACTTGCCCGGGCACGGAGCAAACAAGATTGAGTTAGTGAGTTCGCAAAGATTAACAACCAAAAACACAAAAATATACCTCCAACATTGGTCTGAACTTCTGTTACGTTCGTGTTAAACACTTCCAGCACATGCTGCACATATGAGCATGAAAACCTATGTNGGTTAATTGCGTCTCATTCCATGTCTTTGTTATTGATTGGATAGTTGCAGAGATGATTGACAACTGAGATGATATTCTGCCTGTAACGTCAAAAGAAAATGTACCGGACCATATAAAAATGGGTTCAACTAACTAACTAACTGAAATAGAGCATGTGATCATGAAAGACATTATGAGCACATGGTGCCCTCTAGAAAAAACCCCTAATTATTGATCCGCCCATATACAGAGGGATAACCGCCTCCCAGTGGCTTCGTTCATAGCTAAGTTGTTGAACGCTTAAGTCAGCATCCCAAAGGTCATAGCTTCAGGTCCTGCTCAAACCTCATCTACATGTTCAAGCAGGCACATAACGGTGCAATTTTGTTACGTTGATCCTTACTTCATATGCGCATTAAAATTGATTATGCTCGTTCACTGTACAGTACCCGCTTGTCTTGAAGTGTCAGGGGCTTTCAGTGATTCTAAGATGAGCTTGGTAAACTTGTCTAAAGATTTCACAAGTTTCTCCATTACATTCAGTGTCCCTTCGTCGTCTGATGAATTCACTTCAAAACGAAAATAAAGCACACTGTTACAAACAAATACCAATAATATTACAAAAAAATAACAATGTGCAATAGGCCTGCCTTATGCAAGAATTGTTGAGAATTGTTGTAGTTATTCCAATGAGCTCATTCCATTCTTGTCGACATATCAACATTCTGTTAGTAGCGTTAGTGTAGCGTGATCTATAGTGAACTTTTTTAGTGTAGTTCATGTTGTGTTCTGCGTAGTTGTACTGGTAAAATTAAGAACAATGTAACACCCACAAGTAAAGTCTGAAAGTAAAGAGTCGTTACGTTTGGAAGTTTACAGCGACAACATTTCCCTTAGAGAATACCCTGTAGGATAGACCCATCAAGTTGACGCAATAAATATTATATGGAGAAGAGTGTTTTACTGGGAACTAAACCACTCGTAGATTCCATACGCCACTTCATCCGGGACCCGAGTGGCGTATTTTCCGTATGTCAC